ATACTTCCTGATTTCAAACTATACAACAAAGCTATAGTATTGTATGGTACTATATGAACAGTATGGTACTGGCATAAAAATAGACCCATAGATCAATAGAAGAGAACTGAGATCCCAGAAAGGGGAAAGGTTAATATCTTCAATAAATGGTTCTGGAAAAACTGGATAACCCCATGAAGAAGAATAAAATTAAACCTCTGTATTACACTGTTCACAGAAGTTAATTCAAAATGGTTTAAAGACTTAAAACATAAGAACTAAAACCATAAAACTCCTAGAAGAAAACATAAGGGAAAAGCTCCTTGACATCAGTCTTAGAAATGATTTTTTGAATATGACACCAAAAGCACAAGCGACAACAGCAAAAATTAGTGAGACTACATCAAACTAAAAATCTCTACACAGTAAAAGAACCAGTCAACAAAATGAAAGGGCAACCTATGGAATGGGAAAAAATATTTGCAAATTGTATGTCTGATAAGCTGCTAAAAACCAAAATATATAAAGAACTCACACAACTCAATAGTAAAAAAAAAAATCCAGTTAAAAAATGGGCAGAGGAACTGAACTTCTTTTCCAAAGAAGACATACAAATAACCAACAGGCACATGAAAATGTGCTCAACATCACTAATCATCAGGGAATGCAAATCAAAACCACAATGAGATATCACCTTATACCTGTCAGAATGTCTGTCATCAAAAAGACAAGAGATAACTATTGGCAAGGATGTAGAAAAGAGGGAGCCCTTGTGCACTGTTGGTGGGCATGTAAATTGGTACAGCAATTATGGAAGTAGTATAACAGTATGGAGGTTCCTCAAGAAATTAAAATCAGAACTACTATACAGTCCAGCAATCCTACTTCTTATGTGTGTATCCAAAGGAAATAAAAAAATTATCTTGAAGAAATACCTTCACTTCCATGTTCACTGCAGCACTATTCACAGTAGCCAAGGTATGGGAACAACCTAAGTGTCCATCGAAAGGTGAATGGATAAAGAAGATGTGATATATATAATGGAATATTATTCAGCCATGAGAAGGAAGGAAATTCTGCCATTTGCAGCAACATGGATGGACCTTGAGGGCATTATGCTAAGTGATATAATTCACAGAAAAACAGTTACTGGATGATATCACTTATATGTGGAATCTAAAAAAGCCGAACTCACAGAAACAGAGTAGAATGGTGGTTACCAGGGGCTGGGGGTAGGGGAAAGGGGAGATAACTGGTTAAAGGGTACAAACTTCTAGATAGAAGATGAATAAGTTCTGGGGATCTAATGTACAGCATGGTGATTATGCTTAATAAGACTGTATTATATACTTGAAAGTTGCTAAAAGAGTAGATCTTAAATGTTCACACCACAAAAAAGAAATGGTTAAATATATGAGGTGATGGAGGTGTTAGCTAGCGCTATGGTGGTAATCATTTTTCAATATATAAGTGGATCAAATCAACACATTGTGTACCTTGGACTTACATAATGTTATATGTCAATTATATCTCAATAAAGCTGGGAAAAAAACATTAAAAACTTCAGTGTAATTATGTTGAGAAGAAGAGGGGTGGGAAAATGAGTGTGTTGGGGAGTTTAGGCTGTGTCGGAGAATAAAACCTGCATCTTCCATGGTGGGAAGTCGGTTGACAGTCTCTGAGGCTGAAAAAAAAAATCAAGAAATAGCAGTAAGAACAAGTAATTTAGAAGCGTGAGGGTGAGTTCCAGAAGAAACAGCTAAAATGTTACCTCCAGGGAGAGAAAATTAGTGGCGGGGAAAGAAAACTCTTGTTTTTCCTGTTACGCCTAGCAGTGCTATTTGACTTTTTAAGATATTTCATATATTTGATAAAAATAAACAAACTAATTCAAAGTAAAATGCATGCTGATTTATTTTTAGCACTACTATTTCATTTATTAAAGAGTTCTGCATTCTTTTTGACTGTGTGCTAATTTTGAAACCTCAAGGTTTTTCTTTATCTCAGGGCTCACAATTCTTTAATCTCATGTTCTAGCCTGCACTCAGGGTGAGAATTAAATATAGCCAGAGTGCATTCATCTCTGTCATTCATTTAAGCAGTAAGAGGGCTGAAGAGTTCATACAAAGACCATCAAGTACCAGGACATGGGCAACCTATGTAATTTCCCTCTTACAACCATTTGCTTGAAGAGGGGTCAACTGAGAGCCATAAAGATGTGGCTGAGATGTGATAGGAAGGAACCAGCACCGCTCAGTTTGGAGAAGGGACGCATGAGGCATGACTTCATCGTTTGCAACTATACAAAAGATGGTTTCCAGCTGCTTTGGATTTGCTGAGGAGGAAGTGAGGAAGTGGAATCACAGCGGAGCCTAAGGAATTTAGGTAGGAGACAGATGAGTTTCCTAACCCTGAGAAGAGCTGCCAAGGACCTGTTCTTCATAGCAAAGAGCTTCCATTTTCTTTGAGACTGGAAAGATGAATCTCACAGCTTCCCCACAGTCATCACAATCCCATCTTGCAGTAGTTTTGCTGAAAGAAATATCAGGAAAGGACAGGGTCTCTGCAGGGACACACCATGCTCCTTTGCTCAGGACCAGGTTGACATTGGAGGCCATCCATCCATCCTGTGCAGCCCAGTCCTTGTCCAGGAGCCATACCACAAAATGAATTTTCCATACTGTTGAAGAGTTCTCAATGAGCACTAGGCTGGATCTAACTGGAGCTAAAACGTGCCTCTAGGACCCCGAAGTTGCTGGATTCGACTTATGCTCTACTGTCCCAGCAAATAGTAGTTGCAAAACAGCACTTACGTACCATGACCCAGAGGTGCTACAGACTTGGATGAATGGAACCATTAAATGCTTTGTCCAGTGACTTGAGCTGATGCAGTGTCCTGGGGCCCTGGCTCCACTGCACAGGGCCAGGCACCTTTAGCGCTCAGCAGCCACAAGTTTAAAAGTAGGGGAGCTAGGCGTGTGGGGCGCATCCTCGAGTCTCCTGCTCTCTCACACTGCCCGGGGTCTTCCTACGGCCACCACCCACAGAACCCGGTGGAAGATGCTCAGCACGCAGTACTCCCTAGAGACAGAGGCACAGGCCTGACGGGAGGCCCTACTAGCATCCTCACAAGCCCATCACTGAGCTGCCCAATACACCCCTCGCTGCACTGCAGTCCCAAACGCCAATTCTCAAACTACGGTGAAGCCTCAGTTTAAGCTTCACCAGGTGCAATCAGAGCCTCTTCCTGAAGGCAGTTTTTGCTGGTTGTGAAGGTAACAGGGGTGAAGGCCCCAGCCACATGCATAGTGGAGGAGGGATGATAAGATGATGTTACCTTTGAACATGGAAAAAAGGTCTAGGGAGAGAAAGCGGGGACTCCAAGACCCTCCACTGATTGACCTTTCCCTGTGGGGTGGCATTATAGTTCTCAGGGCGGGTATTGAGTGACTCCTGGCTCCACAAGCTGGCCTTCTTTTCAGGTTTTCTCTCTCACGTGGTAACTCAGCTTCTGGAATGTCTACATCTTCTTCCAGCCAAGCCCTGGAGCGGCTGGAGCCATCACTGGGATGCCACATGGATGAGGGCAGTCCGGACAGTGCAGACACTCCTCGGCCTGAAATGGTTAATCCCATCCCAGCAAAGCCTTGGAAAGCGGGTGCCTAACCCCAAACTTCAGTACCTGGAGGACCAGCCCCCAAGGCCCAGTTCACAGTGGCCTGTGAATCCTTTGTTTCCCTACCAGATGGAAAGCAGGTGCTGCCGCCTTCTCTCTGCATCCCCTCTTGAGCACCATAATACGTTCTAAGGCACATCCATCTCCTAAATGGGAAAGTAAACATTCTTCCTTTTAAAAAAAAGAATGAGGAAAAGGGAAAAAAATGTGTCAGATTTTCCTGGCTGTGCTACTTTTCTAGTTTATCAGATCTAAATGAATTCATATCAGCAATAGCTTCCCTGGTATTTCCTATTTTCAACAATATTGAGTTGAAACACGCATCGCCCTTTTTGTGGCACAACTGGATTGCAGTTATTCTGCTCGCAATATTACTTTCATATTCTCTATTCCTTCCTGGATGATTTAAGTAACAGCAAAATACGGCTGTTGCCAACTCTTGAAACATTTCTGGCCAATTTCCTTTTCTTCCCTCAAAACCTAGATTCTTGTCAAAACCTGAATTCGTAGTGACTTATTAGCAACCAGAGCAAGTTGTAGAATAATCCATTATGAAGAAAGCAAGCTTCACTTGGAATCAGTGAAGTGGCTTTTCGGAAAGGGCCTCATTTCCTAGAACTGGCATCAGTGTCGGGGGAGGGGTTGCATCAGCCCTCCCTCCTTTGTTTTATCTTTCAGGCTTGGGTAGGGGATATGCCCATTCTGTTCTTTTTCACTTTTTTTCCTGCCTGTGAAACTGACTTTTGCATTCTTGAGAGCTGTGTCATGACAAGTCCGGTAAATGATTCACAGTGAAGTGACCTTTACAGAGCAGAGCAGAAATCAGCTGGGTTTCAGGAGCTTGGAGCTGTGTGAAAGCCAGAACGTTTCCTCCCTTCGCTGTAAGCTGGTTCCTCTCTGGCTGCCAATCCTGGTCATGTGATTTGGTGGTGATTTTAATCACCAAGCTAATACTGGCAATATTTACAGATGCACGTGTGTAATTTAAACCTTGGGGATTATTATATAATTAAACTTCTGAAAATGAAAATGGGATCAATACGCAATTTAATGGATTGGTGGAGGTGGTAGGCGTGGTAAAGAGGAAAACTTGTTTAACTCATCAGTATTTTTTTTTAATTTTCTGTTCCATGTTTGTAACATTGAGCGCCACCAAATGGAATTAACTTCGTCCAAGAAATCATTTAACCTTAGCTACCAAGGAGTGTAAAAAACTTGCCAAATGCGGATGGCATCCCTGCTTTCTAAATTGTTAGTACCACAGATGATTTGAACCAGAGAGAAGTTTCTCGTTTCTTTCTAAATAGTGTTTTTTAAATGCTGTCTTTTTTTCTCCTGTTCCCAGAAATAAAAATGACCCTCCTGATCGCCCGATCCTTTCATCTCTCTCCATTCTTTTCTGCTACCATCAGGGAACAGTTGTCAAAGGGTCATTTTTAATCACTGTGGTGAGGATGCCAAGAGCCGTTCTCATGTACATCTATAACACTCTGAAAGAGAAGGTAAGGCAGCACCCTAAAACAGAGTGCGCTCCGTGTTTGGGTTACAGAAAAGTTAATCGCTGGAAAACTACACTGGGTCCCGGGACAGGAATGTGACCTGTGCCAGTGGCCGTTCAGAAAGCTCCAGTGTTCTTCAGGTCCCATCCCCCCACCCCCAGCAATCTTTTTGTCCCGGTCCCTGTTTTGTTCATAGCTTTGTTTGTTGGATTTTCTCCAATGTGGTGGCAGAGGTGGGGTGGAGAGGGCATAGCTCTGAGTTTGCTGGTTTTCCTTCTTATTTAAATGCTGAACAAATGGGAGGAATTCTTAACATGCAATTTAAGCAAGTTTTTATGGACTTTTATCATGCTTTATTTTTTAAAGAAAGAAAAATACACTATGAGATAAGAATAATGTTTGTTTGTTTCTGTTTTAATGCTAAAATATTCCCCACCTTTTGTGTTTCCTGGACGGTGACCTGGGAAGTTGCTGGTGTGTGTGTGTGTGTGTGTGTGTGTGTGTGTGTGCGCGCGCGCGCACACACACGCACGTGCTTGATAGTTAGAAATGGGCAAGCTGACCTCAATCTCAGCTCCAAAGACAGAAAACTGTGGAGCTTTTGTGCCTGGGGTTTTTTCTCCTCCCTGGTTTTTATTTCCATGCACATTTGGTTATGAATGGCAGTGGAAACCAAAACACCAGGAAAACAGCTGTTCTCATGGTATTTCTGGCCTGCCAAACAAGGGAAGGTTGGATTTTCCCCAACTTTTCTGTTCTCACACAATGTTAATCTCGACCCCATCCCCACCTCAGCGTTGGTGACTTGGTCAGAGTTTCTCAAACGTACATGAGTCCAACCTTTTGCGTATACGTGTGTGCTCTTAGTTAATTGGGGAAGTTTTACCTGTGGGTTCATAATTATACTTTAGAATTGTTTTTGTTTGCTCTTTTAAGCAGAAATCTGAATTGTTGATATTTAAGTCTGTAATCAAGATTTAAGATTAGTATATTAATTAGGAACAATTGATTGAATTTCGCATAAAATTATCCAGCTTCCTCATCTTGAAATGCATGCTAAACCGTTGCCCCTGATCAGGGAGTATTTTCTTGTATTTCTGTTGAAGTACTGCTTAGCTACATGTCTGTGACTTGAAGAAGCATTTGCACATCCAGGACAAATCAAGCTACTCCGGCTCTTGCATTTTGAAATTGATCCTTCAATCTTGGGAAACTTAGGAGAAGGATTTCTTGAAGAACAGAGCAGCTTTTTTGTTTTAAATATATTCATATTGTTTATCTATATTAAATATATTCATATTTAGGTATTACAGGTATATGTATGCATTAGTAATAGATACTCACAAATTAATGAGCAGTAGGGGACTATCTCCCCTAGAGCTAGACACCTCAAATTCTTTGGGGAAACAGCCTCCATAAATCTGAAAGAGAAGTTACTGGGTCATCCTCTCCGGCAGAGGTCTAAAAGGTTATTTATCACTCGCCAGATCCCGTAAGGACTAAGGGGCCAAACTCCCTTTTAGTGGTGTCACTGTTGGAGAAATGTGTCCTTTCTTAGGTTAAAAAAAAAAAGGTCTTCCTAAGCAGCTTTACAGCCCCATACCGTACCTACAAGTTAAACATTTCACACGGCCACTGTGAGACCCTTCTTACGTTAAGTGGCTTATTTACAACCATGGCCAGGCTGAAAAGTATCCAGGTCAAATTTCATCCAATTGAATTAACATTGAGACAAGAAAATGTCCATGTAAGGCTGAGTTATTCCTGGGGTCCTCAAAGAGAACTATTTCAGGATTGTTTTCAGGGATCCTCCACTCTGGGTCTGGGCACATTCAATCACCCCTCCCCCCAACAAGTTTCGTTAAATTATTCATTCCTGAGTTATACACAAGTTCAAGTTATATTTCGAAGGACTAATTTATCCCTGAAAATTTAGCCCTGAAAGTCTCACTATAGGATGTATTTCCAAAAAACTTAAACCTGACTCTTTTTTTATGTGGACACGTAACTAGTATCTACAGTGCATTAGTTTTTATTGTCTCAGGGATGTGAAGTTTTCGTGAATACAGACTTTGGTTTGAAAAAGCAGAGTTTGTAATTGAAGACACTTAGGGGAAGGTGAAGAGGGAAGAGAGATTGATTCTTTTTTTTTTTACTAGAACCAGGAGGTCTACTTCACCTTTGCTAGTAAATATGGACTAACCCATTTCCCTTTCTGCTGAAGTTAACAGCAGTCCTAACAGGTAAGCCCACAGGAGAGAAATCGTGCTCATCAGTAGTAGAAATGATAATAATTAGTAGTAGGAGTAGCATATACAGAATAGAAGAACTTCTCTACCGAGTGAG